AAGGCATCTCTTCCCTTACACAGACAGCCCTTTCTTTGCCATAATTAAATAAAACAAACTAAATGACTAGAAACGCTTGGCTGCCAAAGGTGTTTGCTTCTGCCATACAACCAGAGTTCTGGAGGGTTAATGCTCTGGTGATTTAACGGATATATAAAATCGTACTGCCTTTGAAACGCATGTTGCGCAGTAACAATGGATAATTGTCTAGTAATTAAAATGATATTTTTAGTTTTTCCTATGAAATATTCCTCTTGGATTTTAAATATTAGCTTATAATTAGTGATATCATCAATTCAAGCGAGATAAAACTATTTATCAATTAATTCCGAGTCATAATAGTCCTGAAAACGAAAGAAAACTGAATCTTGTAGATTAACCCACCAGTAGAATTCAACAAATATTTTAGTTTGTTTTCTTTCGCTTATGTATGTGCGTAAGTGTGTGTGTACTTATACAGAATTACAACTTTTTTTTTCATTTATTTTTTTTATATAGATTCCATTTTAGAAAAGATACCATGCTGGATTAGGAACTATTAATAATGAAATTAATGGAATAATTATTTAACTTAGACATGGATAAGAAGAAGATTTTAAAGGAACCAGGTTCGAATTATGTTTCACACTATAAAACAACTCACATCAAAGTGCGATAAATCTTTCACAGCCAACTTGTTTCATCCAGAATCGGGAATGGAAAACTAATTTCTTGAAGTTAACGGCGATGCCGAAGAAGGAGAGTAATTACGCGGATAGAAGGGGATGTAACGAGAATTTCTCCATGCTGTAGAATAATGGAACAGTTTACAAGGCAGACTGCCAGGATGAACATCTGGAAACAGAAACGTGTAGCTCAATCAAACCTATACAAGACTAAAAGACGTTACTCTCCTTTTTGATTAATATTTTAATATTGAATATTACGGTGGATATTTCTAAAGCAGAATTTAAAAGAGAACTAAATTGATATTAATATTCCTTTATTAAGTAAAACGAAATTAATGTGAAAGGAGAGAGAATCTATAATTAAAATTTAATCTAAAGGATTTACATGCGTACTTCGTTTTGGCTTAAAATAATCGTTGAATTCAATTGGATTACTTACTCAATTTGAATTAAAAATGCATGCAATGTATCACACTCCTTATATTTGTTTTATTTATAGCTGAAATGCAAGTTCTCAATACACTTTCACCGTTTTTTAGAAAACTAATATTAATTACCTAAGAATTCGCGCTTCACCAGTGACTGAGAGGATAAGACCCTTGAACAGTGGCATTTCGATCTGGGTTCAGTTTAAGGCAAACGAGCTGGCTGCGTGGTTAGTTTTTGTACTTTTTCCCATCGTGTAACGCGAATGAGAGTCAATTTACCTTAGAATGTCCTCCACGAAGGACATTCTAAGATAACTCTCGTATGCTTTGCCATGTTCAAACAATTCAATTTTCGATCTGCTAGATGATTTCTTTGGCATGGAGTGATTGTTAGTGAAACTTTTCGGAAGCAAAATATCTTCAAAATATTAGCTGAGATCTCACGTTAAGAAAATTTTCGATTTATTTCGAAGATGTAGCATGTTCTGGCGATAAAAAATGATGGAATATTTATATCATATCCTTATTTTAAGTAACTATACTGTATATAAATTGGCAGAATTTGTTGCAACCTCAGCTGTTTGAAAACAATATCCAATAGCAAAATTTATTAAATGAATTTCAAAATCAGAGTAATAAACTGCGTTTGGAATGTCTGTAATAAAAATATGTTAAAAAACTGTTTTATAACAAAATAAACAATCCTGCTTGAAATAGTATTAAAAAGAGTTAATTTTGTAATAGTGTTGCAAGTAGGAAAATAACGCAGGGACCAAAAGTGAAGTTACCGGAACAAAAAAATAAAAATTTCATTTCAAATAGACTTCTTTCTTCAGTTATTTCAATTCTAAAATTTAAAATTTTACAATATAATACACGTTAAAGAGAACTCTGTGAACATCCATGAAGGTAATAAGCTTGCTATTGTCAGTTCCAAATGTGATGGCAGATATTTTTAGTAAGTCTTGAGGATGATTCTCTAATGGTCAATAGCATGAAAATTCTATAAGCTAATAAAGAAGACGATAATCAAGAATAAAGATGCTATTTTTTAGCTTCAAAAATTTATTTACTTTATTAAATTATTTAAATTTACTAAAATATTTTGTGGAAAAAGGTGCATTCAAAGTAGAATTCTTTAATAAAATATAATATAGATTAAGAGAAATTCTCCGGAAACCTCTGCATGGATACTCATGGAAAGCAATAAACTTACCACAGGTCACTTTCGATTCTGATGGTTGCCATTTCTTGTACGTTCAGAAGATGGTAGTAGTCGTTAATAGTATGAAAATGTATGTCCGAAATAAAAAAAAAAATTAAAAATAAATATGAGGTAGGTAAAAGGGGAGGCCTGGTGGCTAACGCACCACAGGCCCGGGCTCGATCCCCGGGCTAGGCAAGGTTGACTCAGCCAAGTGGGTCGATAAAATCAGTATCAACTTCGCTTGAGGACTAAACACTGGGGGTGCTGCGACAAGCTGACCACTTCTCCAGGCCAAAGGATGCACAAGCTTCCCGGAGCCCACGATCTTGAAAGCAGCTGTCAGAGCACTGCCAGCCATGGCTCTGTATGGGCTGTTCGTCCCGCCGAGTTTAGTTTAGTTTAGCTAGCGTAAAAAGGAATATAAAAGACGTAAGTTTGTTCCATCTCTAATGGAAAATATTAAGAACTATTAGTGCTATACAAGGCAGTAAATTTTAGAATAGCTGATAATATGAAAGCATTACATATTTGCAATATGATAATAATGAATTAAGATATATTTTTATTTGAGAAATGATGAAACTAAAACGATGGATACCTAAATCCTCTATGATTAAATTTCGTCAGGAGGAATTGATTACTTCTGCTGCTTTCTGGTAGCAGCAAGGTAAATAAATACTAAAGTGAGAGCTGCGTAGCTGCGTTATGAGTTATCGACTTTGTTATAGCGGTAACCTTTAATCTCAGTGCAAACTTTAGCCAGAAGAAACTTGCGTGAGATAGATATGCTGTTCAAGAGTGCTTATTTTTGCAAGAAATAGGTCGTAAGATTGTGAAGAATATTGTGAAGATGAGTGAAAAAAAACTTATCATGAAAACTATTAAAAACCTTTTGAATGACTTCTCAACGAATGCATATTAAAGCTAGAATATTGTTTAATAGTAAAGTAATTCATTTAAATCAGATCAATATACACTGAAAGTGCATAATGACTATTGTCTGAAAGGATGCTTAGATTTGTTCCTCAAAAAAGTTGCCTAACATGTGCATTTAAGTTTTAGTATCAAGACTAAAAGATTTGGCAAGAATCAAACGTTTGTATTGGAATTTTTCAATAGCACTACTGCTGTGGAGGAATTTCTCTATGCATTTTAAAAGAACGTTTTGAATATAAATGACTTTTACATAGAATGTTTACCATTTCTCAGATTGTGTCGCATTGGCATCAATCACAACTTAAAATCCTGAGGACATAAGTAGATTTACCAAAAAATATAGATTATGTCTAGAACTACTAAGTAAAAAAAATGTAGATTATTATCGGGTTAGCAAGAAAGTAATTTCGCATTTTTTTTTGTGCGAACCAAAACTCAAATTTTTTAGTATGAAAAACGAATTTTAACCAGACAAATATCTTCCATTCTTTCGATGACCTTTTGCCATTTTTCTGGGAACTTCATGATAGAACATCTGGTAACATCATGCATACTTCCCAAACTTCCCAAACCAAGCTCCAATAATTTCCTATGTGTTGTTAAAGATATGTGAGGCCTCCCATTTTCGCAGTGGAGCACGATTCCTTTGCAGTTTGCCAATTCTGGCATTTTATCTGTGATTGCTTCTTTCTATTTCATAAGTTGTTGGCAGCAAACATCAAAGTTGATCGCTTGGTTGCTTGGAAACAGCTCAAAATATACATTTTATTTATTCAGACCAGATTGAGTGCATGCTCTTTTTCTGGTGTAATTAGCATTCGATATAATTTATGCTGATTGATCATGTTTGGACCATGATCGTTTTCTACTAATGTTAATGTAGATAATCCATTTTTCATTACCACTGATAATTCGTTTCAAAAAATGATCGACGATATTACGTTTGAAATGCGTATCGCAAGAATTGAATCTTTGTGTTAAGTGAATTTCTTTCAATTCATGCGCAACCCAAATATCGAGCTTCTTAACAAGTTTGTCATCTAATATGATTTTTATTTCAGTTGTTATGTGTTATATATTTAACCTTTTGCAGTCTCTCGCATAGGTATATGACGATTCGATTCAATTATAGCTTTAATTTTGTAATCATCATAATCAGAATATTGGCCAGAATATCGGTTATTTTCAAGCGAAAAATTTCCAGAATGGTTTGGTTTTGGTTTATTTAATTATGGCAAAGCACACTAGGGCTATCTGGCTAAGGGGAGGGATGCCTTCGTGGAGGACGTTTTAAGGGAAACTGGCTCGTATACACGTTACACATGGGGAAAACCACGAAAACGCCCATGCAGCCAGCCCGTTCGCCAAAATTTCCAGAATGAAATTTCTTAAAAACTAATTCTGGCTCATTGTTGTATTAAGCAATCATCACCATAAACGTTGCATTTCTCTGAAGAACCTCAGCTGCTTTCTTGCATTTATGAAATTAAAAAAAAAAAAAAAACTAAAATATGTCGAAAATGTTAACTTTTGCACACAGGGTTAAAACTGACCATAAACTAACAGTTATGAGCAAAAATACACGGACTTTGTTTCTAAATAAACGTGCCAGTTGCCCAATCTCAAAATCCAAAAAATAATGATAAGATTGACAGAAGAATAGCAAAATGAAACATAACACTATCTGTTTGTAAAAGCCGAAATTACTTTCTTGCCAATTTTATAAATTCAAACCATGCACCACATCTGATCTATTCTTACCATAGAGCCTTCATCAATAGTGTCAAGACTAAGAACTGTGACATGAAATCGAACAACAGTCGCTTCACCTAAAAATAAACAAGAATTATTAATAACACCCCAACACTAATGAAAAAACAATTAGTAATGTAAATTTACCATATGTACAAGAAATGAATTTAAATACATTATTTAAGAAGGAGATTTAAGGATTGCAATTATTTTATCATTATTATAACTTAGCATCATTTACAGCTGAAACGAGCCCTTAAAGTCTGTCTATAAAATTTATTATTAATAAAGAGCTATGTATGATTGGCGAAGCCTTTAAATATTTGCCTTTGAAATTTACTCAAAATGTGCTTATTAATGGTGGTTCTTAAATCTACGGAATATATTAAACAGCAAAGAGGGGTAATACGAATTTACTGTGAACAGGCTATTTAAGTAGTTCTGTTTAAAAATGAGAAAGTATGCTTACAAGAAGCAAATTTAATTATTCGTTTACTAATAATTTTATATTTACGTAATAACAATCAGAAACAAGTTTGAGACGGAGGGAATATAAAAGTTTGAGACTGCTAGTGCTAAATACGATGTATATCATTATCATCGACAGACAAAAAGAAACTCTGAAAGGTTTCAAATTTTAAATTACTTCCAAATGGGCGTTTTTTTAACATTTTATCTGGTTCATTTATTTATTAAACATCACGTTTTTCGCCCTTAAACCATAAAATTTAGTCCAAGAGCAATATCGCAAGACAGTTTTAAATTGAGCATAACTTTAGAATTTCCGATACAGAGTCTCGCGCGCTGGAGATAAAAATGTCTTTTCTGTAGAACGTTGCCACTGCTCGCTTTGAAATCCTTGAGTTTGTTCATCAAAAATTCGTTAAAGTTTTACAAAATATGAAATCGATAATAAAACAAGTTCCAAATTTCAAATTTGGTCTTCTACATGCCCATATTCTCAATAGGATTACGTCATTCAAAATTCGATGGCTCTATGTACCGTTGTTTATCACAATGCGAGAAATATACATAAATTTATGCATACTTGTCATTATTTAATTTTTTCAAATATAATGCAGCACTGTAACATTTGTCAACAGTTTGAAAAGTGAAACGGACATTTATAGTAAACCAACGCAAAATAGCAAAACGAAAACAATAGTCCTTCAGGGACAAAGCCCCTTTAGACTAATAACTATAAACTATTTTTCTGATTATTTTATGGTGACTTAATAAAGTTAAAAAATAACTTGTCTTTAAATTATCTAGTAACATAAGGTCCTACTAACATCATAACAAATATTTAGGGGACACAAAAAATTAAGTATGAAAAAAATATTTGAATAATTTCATTTTGCAAAGCGCGATGTCTTTATAAATTACCCATGTAAACGCCTTATACATAATCTGTTGATAATTCTTTAAATGCAAGTAAATTCTCTTAATTAAAATATGAGAATCGTTGACAGTGATTGTTTTCAATGCGTAATTTCATTTTAAAATGATGTGTGATGTTTTCCTAATGCGTTCTTCGTTAAAGATTCATTCTGGTGCGTGCATGTTTCTTGATTTCAATACATGATTTCAAATAGCATAAAATATATACACACTGCGCCCACAGAGTTTTGGGAACAAACTGCTCGATTAGATCCAGCAAAATTTCCTTACAATAAGAAGTATCGATAATTATCAAAACAATCTCAACTTGTCTAAAAATTAAAAGACTGTATATAGAAATAGTTGGAACTGTTTTATCATTTGAAACCTTTTATTTTCTGTTTTTTTTTAAATTTCTTTACTGAATAGAATTTTTTTATCACAAACTATACTTGCTATTAGATATTTGAAAACTCAGCAGGAATTATCAATCAAGCTTTCTTATCACAATGCAACTAATATGAAATAGTGTCATACAACGAGAAATGTAATTAATGCTTATCACCTCCTGAATTACTAGATAGTCACTTGCAGATTACGATTTGTTATCTATACTGAAATCTTCCCTTAGAGAATACAATTTTTAGAATATTTCAGAAATTCGGAAAAATACTTATTAAGCTAGCTAATTTGGGAGTCCTTGAAGGCTAGAATATTGAAGAATTCTGTAGCAACTTATCGCAGAGTTCTGTAAGCAATATCCAAGGAAGGATTAATTTACCCTTTCTCCTAAGTCAAAATAGATGAACAAATGGTCCCTTCTCGGGCATACAGTAAGCCTCCACTTGGACTTTTAACTCAAGATAGAAAATAAGAAACTAATCTAATCCTAACCAAAATAGAATCAGCCGAGGCTGCACAGAATTAACCAACAGAGTTGGCTCTTACTTAACACGGCGGAAGTCGCCCCAAGAAAAGTTACTAGAGTGGGCGCGTGGGGTATTACATACCCCAATATTTAAAATACGATAAAAATAGTTTTATTTAGTTTTAAAGCTGTTTTTCTTGTTCTTGTGTATTATATATACGTGAATAATAATTAGGTTTCAAAAAATTAATTTCCGAAATAATCTTAGAGTTAAAATTAAGATAAATGAAAATAATAAAAAAATAAACATTATGCCTCTAAGTTTCATTGCATCTCTAATACACAATGCTTATTTTATTGCTTCACACTTTGAACGAAATACATTCATGTGTTCTTGGCACAGAATGTTTTCACATTTTAAACATCGCATTCACGTTTTCTGTCCTTGGCACGAGGGCCAAAAATGTAACACATCTTTCATACTTAGTTGTTTCGAATTTCATGTATTCGTTTTAATTCTTCGTCGAAACTTCTGCTTTTGTTTCGCATGCAGTACGTCAGTTTCTTGGTAAAGTATTAATCTCTGATCTTTGTTCAATACGTTTTTTCATTAATTGAAATGTTAAGTCCTTCAAAAACAGACTTCTGTTTTTGATTGGTGGATTAGCAGTTGAATGTTATAGAATGCAAGTATTTATTACAGCAACATTTAGTGAAGAAAAGAAAATTACCATTTGCCGCTTCCTTGTTATTCTGGCAATTGAATAATTGGCTGACATTTCATCCCCCATATCCACTGCTCCTTTAGTCATATTATAAAAACATATAATTCCTGTCGTTTTATTTTCTCCAATAGTATGATCGTTATATAATGTTGAAAGCATAAGAACAGTTTTTCCTTTTTTTAGGAACTTCAGGAATTAATGTTTTATCGTTTTCGAAACAAAAACAGTGTAGAAAATATTCCTAGTTTCATCTTTAGTTTCCGAAATGCAATCTTCATCGTTTTCAAATATTTCTAATAAATCTCACAGGCGTTGTATTTCCAGTTCATAGGGAGTCATTCTTTTTCCATAATGCAGTTAGAAATTTTTAAGAATTTAATGTCAAGTACTTTAAAATCACTTGCGAGTAGAAATATTTACTGTTACACTCTAGAAATAAATTTCTGAACTAAATATTCAGTCAGAAAAACAATTACGCGGACAGGCGCGTGGGGTTTGTCATACCCCAGTTCCAACAAAATACCGATAAATCTTTTTCTGAAACACACAGGCAAAGAAAAAGCGGTGCTAAAACGTCAACCACAACTAGAAAATCAGCTACTGAAAGCAGCACAGAATTTCAGTTTCACAAGTTAGGAATATTCCACTTTTATGTAGTGTTGGAGTATGATACATTCCACGCGCTTTCCCGCGGGTTAAGATCACCGGCGGACACTAGCAGACACGTAACAATAATAGAATAGTAGTAAAATTAGACTTTTAATAACAACGAGGTCGGAAAGCAGAACAGGCTCTCCTAACGCTGTACTAGTTCTTCTAGTGAAGTGATCCAGACTTCAGCTTAAATATCAGTTTCTACCTTACTTACATAAAACGCAATCCTAAACACTCATTATGATAGGGAAATGTAGTTTGTAGTTGGGAAACGAGAAAGTAAAGGAAAGGCTTGTTCAAAAATAAAAATAACTATTAGAAAATTAAAATAAACTCCTACAACTTGACTGCTATGAAAGCATCTAAATGCTTTATCTACCACGCTAAGAGATTTGGTTGGTTGGTTGGTGTCGTGTCCTTTGAGAAGCTAAGTGGATCCATGCGTGGAAATCACTTGCTTTTGCCAGTTCCATAATCATTTCACTATAAAGAGCTCTACGCTAAGAGATTTGAAATCCTATATAGATGCAAAGAGAGCGACAGTTAAATAATGGCACGATATATTTAAAAAATGGAAACGTTTCAGAATTTAACCGATGGACATTGCTCGAACGATGATCCTATGTTAATAAGCAACGACACGCATTTTTAAATAAATCGCAGGACTAGGTATACTTTTGCTGCAGCTCTGAAAAGAGCAGACGCCACTTCTTACGATTTTTTAAATATCAGAAAAATAGTTTGAAGGAAAATTTGAGTTTTAGGAAGAAACTCAAAAGGTATTTCTCAAAGAAACAAATACAAAGAAAAAATAAAGGGTTTATTTTCGAGTGAGGTGATAGAACTTAAAGTATGCTCACTGAATGAATTCAATGACAAAATATTTTTCAACCAATAGAAGATAACTTTGCAAGAAAAAGTCATCAAAATTTTCCGCATTAAATTACTTTAACATTGTGAGAAAAATGTTTTATTATTCCTCAGATATTTTATAAATTGACTAAATCAGAATTCTTATTAAGCCAATGATGGAGGTAAAATTTCCTTTATGCACTTGTGGAACCATATCTAAGAGAAGATTTTAGAAATATCTCTCATAGAATAATTGTTCATCTTATAATTCATCCCAAATATCAATCACCTCTTTCTTTTACACTAAACTATCGCATAAATTCTTACCTTCTTGCATGTCTTAAAGGAAATTTAAATCTCGGATAAGAAATTTATTGGAAATTAAACTGATTGTTTCAAAAGTGTCACTTAGTTGTACCTCTTAAACGTCTCTTCGTCAAAGTACATCTTTAAGTAAAGTAATTAATTATATAAGGTAGGATTGCCGAGCGTGATAATTTTGATCACGGCGGAAACTTTAGTAAAAATATAAGAAAAAAAATTGTGGGCCTCTCAATGAAAAGAATTCTGTGAAATACATTTTTCACAGCCGAATTAGTCAAATAAAAAAGTTATCTTCATGCTAATAGTTGCCCAAGACAATATTAATTAAAAGTTTTAGGGATCGTATAAAAATATTTCTAGTTAAAAACATACACTGTATAAATTGCAGTGCATAAGAATAAAACAACAATGAAAATTTTCTAGTGCAGATTTCTAAAAAATGCTTATTGTATGTTTCAAGTAAAATTAAAATAATCGATTATGATTAATTAACAAGGCAATTTAATTTTTTATATGTACATGGTATAATTTCAAGAGACAAAATCTAGCGTATTGTTCTTTCCATCTCAAAGGCTAAATGAACAGGTTTTATATTCTGAACTAGGTGGCGCTGCATGAAATAGAGTGAAAACTTAACTCGTTTTTAAAAGTAGTTTGTCAACTGAAGAATTTTCTCCATAGTGGTTCATGAAAAAATGGGTTAAATTCTTTTCTGGATCCCAGGTGACTGGTAATTAAAACTTTAGAAAAGCACTTTGTACACAAGCTCATAACCCAAAACCGATAAAAATTATAAAAAGGATAACTATGATAATGAATAAATGAAATGATGTGGGAGGTGTTATTGTTTAGATGTTGTTAGAATGTTAGATTTTCTTTACAAAATTGTTTGTAAAATATCTTATTACCTTTTCTTAAATGCTTTTGAATAACATTATTAAGTTTCTTAACTAACAGGAAATAAAAAAAAACAATTACGTTTGGACATTGATAAGTTTCTGTTTGCTAATATGTTTGGGAAAAAAATGCAATAAGTTAACTTCTTTCTTTTCTTGAGTACCACATTTCTTGAGTTCTTAGTGTACCACATTTCACACATACATTTTATCTGCGTAACAGCAGCATCACTCATCTACGAGAGCCACACTCTGGCCACCTCTGATATACATGAAGTAAAAAACTTGATGTGGACACCACAAGACTTCTTAATACGTCTTATTAAGTTATACACATTTTTGCTGCATTTCATTGAAACTTATTTCCTCAGATTTCGTTAGAGCTATATTTCTTATTCAATCAATTTAGTTTTCACTTCATGTCAAGGCAAAAATATATAATCAAAACATCTTCAATAAAAAATGTAAAATACAAAAACCTAAAACAACAACAGTTAATACAATTAAATACAGTTAAAAGTTTTTTTAAAATCACAGTTTGTTCGCAAAAACAAGCAATTCTAGCAAATAGACAAATTATTCGGTGCTCAAACTTGAAAGTTAACGTTTGGTTCCACTGGGTAAAGAGACGAAAGTTGATGCACCAACTGACTTAATTCATTATTCTATTAAGATTTTCAAATGTAAACAAATGGTGGCCTCATTAGGCCTAACGCCACTTTTAAATTATCTTTTATTCTAAAATTATTGCATGAAGATTAATTGAAGACATAAAAACCTTAACTTAAATATATGAATAACATAGTTCAATCATTTTTTAAAGCAAAAAATGCACAATTTACTAACATATAAGAATAAAAACACAGAGCTAAAGGTACCGAGTAAAAGAGTGGGTATACACACATATAATGCAATCGTTTGGTGCGGCCGATTGCAATAAGAAAGGAGCTGTACAGCTGCATGTTATAGCAGTCCCATATACAAAATTTCATCGTTCTACGGCTAATCGTGTTTGGGTATTGAGAAATACGTACAGGCACCAAAAATTCCCTTCTGAATCCATTTTACAATCCGTTTTGGAAAAAAAAGTGCTTTACTCTGTCTGTACGTACAGATTTCATGCAAGAAAAGCGTTTAAATGGATTTGAGAGTGGTCAAAATGGATATTTTCGTTAAAGTATGATACTCGAAATGTTTCGCGGTTACAATACTTCCTTTTTATAAATGTCTCAATGTCTTTGCTTACGGCCCAATCTATCCATAATTTCTTCCAAGTCATGGTTCTGTAAATCACTTGCTGCGAGGCTTTGTTGATGAAATTTAGGCAATTAAAAGCTTTAGAAATGATGTTTCCAGAAGGCTTTGAGTGTTAATTATGTGTCATGATTAACTCAAAACGTCTCTGAAAATCCTATATTACCGACTTGAATGTTCATAACTCGAGACATCGTTCTCATTCAAGCCTTCTTTTGTTCAGATAAATTATTCGTCAAGTGATACTTTCGTGATCCGAAGTTCCACACGGTTAACGCCAGAATATAATTTACATCACAGTTTTCTGGAATGCAATTTATGTCATAAACAGATAGGCTCAATAGCAAAGTTTCCATTGCAAAAACATTCAATATTAATTTTTTTATTTAACGGAATTTAATTTTTGTAATTCTTAAAATCGATACACTAATCATTACGTTCATCGGCGTAAAATCAATATACTAATCGTTATGTTCATCGTTACGTAAATCATCTAATGCTTCCAAAGCTAATTTTTCATGTAATAGAACAAGGTTTGCGCCCTCTAAAAGATCCTTGCTGAAATAATAAAACCATGTTTAGTATTTTAAAGAGTTGTAAAATCATTTAAATGTTGTAGAATTTTACTAATAGGTGACACGTAACATAAACTATTGTATTCTAAAAGCTTATTTTATTTGATTCATTTATTGAAATAGAAATTCAGGTTTAACATCATCTATTCGATCGCTAATCGGCCATGATAATTTTGAAACCTACGAACAAAACCTCCCATTTAAATCTTGAGCAAAATACTGCAGAAAGAATGATCTTTAACATACTTGAATACTTACGGAGCATTCAGTTTCTAGTATTAAGTACCACAGTTGCAATCCTCAATACATTAGGAGCCCACTTTCAAGACTAACATTTATATTTTCCTCGCGACCATTGTCGTAACTAAAAATGAAAGTTTTTATTTAAAAACCTGCTGTGCGCAAGCATTATTTTAAATCCTATTGCTCTAGAATCATTGTTTGCTAATTTTTCATGTTATAAGAAAAAGGTTTTCACCCGCTAAAGATCCTAAATATTACGAATTCCATATTTACGAAATTTAATATATCTTTTTTTAGAGTGAATAATTCTGTTTAACGTTTTACACGAGGATCGGTATGAGACATTTAAAAATTACTAAAAATAATTTTTAATTATAATCATTTATATTTAACGGACTCTTTGTTATATCAAAGAATTTGATAGCAATTAGATATCTTTTATTTCGAGTCGTTATCTCACACAATACTATTGCGTTGTATATTTGCATGTAATACAGTTCCAATGGAAATGGAATGCGATGAATGTCTTCTCTGAAGATACCAAATATATTTGTTCAAATATATATATTAGCCAATCAACAGAAAGTGAAGGATGTTCATATAAATCAGTACAAATGAATAAAATCGTTTAGCCACTGGTAATAAAATGTATAGTTTATTTGGCTATAACCTTAACACTGCAGAAATAATTTGTTTCGTATTCATGAACTGTGTAAATAACAAGAGTCTGCTGGTAATGAGGTTAAAACAATTATTCTTATTAAATATATTTATATAGTAGGGCTACGGTATAACAGAATCTCTTTAGCAAATAAATACTAACAGATCCAGGCTTAGAAAAGAGATAGCTTCCAAACAGTGTCTTTAGGTTACACATATGAATCGGAGTAACACGAATCCTTGATAAACAGCAAATATCTGGTAGAATAATAATAACAGTAAACATAAACAATAGTAGCACAAATAAGTATAAGAATGTAATACCTTATCTGATGTAATAATAACGCGCTGCAAATCTGCATTATTGGAATGCTAATATTAACCATACCATTCTATTGTTTTTGGAAGGTACAAAAGCTTGCTTATGGCAGTAGAAGTATGTTAATTTAACAAAGAAAATAAGTTTAGATAAAAAAAAGGAATAAATGAAAATTATTTTAATATTAACTTCGTACTGTCTCAATATCTTCCTGGAATGGACATATTTGAGGCAAAAGAAAGAAAAACAAACGGATACAAAAGATTTAGATTAAAAAAAATAACGCTAACTTAACCTGTTACAGTACCTTCTAGGATGGGACATTTTTTAGTCACGAAGTTAGAATAATTAATTTGAAAATGATATGATGATGTGCTGGACTTTGGAAATTTGATTTGATGGAATAGCCATGCAGATAAAAATACTCCCAAGATGAAATTGCAAACTTAATTTCGTATTCATACTAGGAGGAAAGAGTAATGTAACAAAAGTGATGCTATACGCAAGTGATGCATCCCATCTATAATATAATTGTCCACCTCAAGTCCTGCAGGTCGCCTCAAAGTGTGCTCTTAGCCGCGAAGGTGTGTACCTGGTCGGAACGGGTGAAGTACATCGGGAGAGTAATCTCCTGAAAGGGTCACTCAAGGCGGGAAGGCCGTTTCATTATGCTAAGCTAAGACCTGCAGGAAAAGGAGCAAAGACAGACTTCTACCCTTGGACCTTGCCCCCAGGGAATTCCAGTCTTTTTGACCAACAGAAGCTGCTCACGTCCTCCTCCTTATGGTTTTCTTGAGGTCGCTGATAGACTGGACAAAGAGGGTAGTGAGAATGAAACGGTCACTGGCTCTTCGCTTACATACCAAGAACTTTACTCAAATGAAAGAGCTAAATATAATATGGCTTATTCCATCCACGCACCAATGGTACTTAGGAACATTACCTGGCTCTCTGCTGGAAATCAAATGTGACCGTGGCTCCCAGACTGCTCTGGCTAGAATGACGAGTGGCCACCTTAAATGTCTTTTCTTTGATAGCGGCAGAAAAATCCATCCCGTTTGTAAAA